AAAATAAGTCAACGAAATCAGTTAATATGTTTGTCTACCATTACTAATAATAATACTAATTCTCATTATTATATAGCTCATAACTCCTTGATGATTCCATGCCAAAGAGTACTGCACAATTATTCAATTATTCATGCGATAATTTATAGAAAAGAAAGTCGTCCGGTCGTTATGGATCAATTTACATACCTGCTTCTATGGTGCGGTCTGAGAGGAGGATTTACTCCAAAGTTTGTGAAGCTTCTTCCTGTGTCTCCTAGCATATAACCAATTTGACTTTTAGCAAACTCTGTGTAGATTTAAGGTCCAACACTGAGTTTATTTGCGAGTATAGCTAAAAACGCCTGGTTTGCTAAACAAAATTAAAACATGTATTTAATGAGCGCATAAACAAGTAACAGTGATATGAGTTGTTTATGAAATACGTTCGTGAAACTAAATGAGTTATGGCATGTCACATGGCATGACATATATTTAAATATTATCAAATGCAAATAGTTGTCTATATGTGTTTACATATGTATCGCATTATTAGTCTCTCTTGTTACACCACGTATACGCATATAGTCATTAAAATTGGTTATTGTATGGATTATGAACGATGTCGTTATAAATGTTTTATTTTTTTTATATTCATAGTCCTACCATATATATTATTATACACCAGTCACCATAAATCCATAAGTGCCGTAATTTTGCGGTATTTTACGGGGTATTTTCATCATACCAAATAAGGAAATGCGAATTCCAAATATGGAATGATTCCGCGCGTAAGTGTCCTCTAATAATAACAACCAGAGTTTCACCGGACTCCGCACAGAGACGTTCGCAGATTATGTTCTAAACTTTGTTGATTTTGGCATTCCCATGATGTATCTTTGGAAGGAAAAGGTGTATAATAACCAGACAGCACGCCATGCGGCGGCGGCCTACGTTAACTTACAGTTTGTTCTAGACCTGATCACAATTATTTCAACACTGGAGCATCATGTACACGATAGAACCAAATTTCAATTGAGCGAAATGTAACATTTGTCGTCTTTCATTAAATACGTTAGGGCCACATAATATTTCAGATGCAAGTTAAATAGGGAGCACAGCACGATCATCCATTAACGCAATAGCAATAGTCGTATAGGGATTATTTTAAACCAAGTACAATTGACATATAAGAGTAGCAATGGCAGTATTCATTGAAAAAGTACATTTACAAAATTCAATATGCTACCCGAGAGGAAATTTTCAGTCAATTAATATACAAAAGAATGATATATTGATTTCAAGGTTAAGACCAAGAAGTTATTTCAGATGTTTGGTATACTGTCCTATTAATATCATTTTACATGACTATACAATACTATATAACAGAGTTTACCAATATTTTTATTGTAAGAATTATGAAATAGTTTGAAAATATTTGTTATATATCAAATCAGAATCACATTATAGATGAAGTGGGATGTGAGGTGGGTGTCGAATAAAACGCTAACGATATAATAACAGAGTTTATATTCTTGTACGACCCCTTTTTACTAAACTTGAATTGAATTCACATTTCCAGACCACATTTCTTATACATACATTCGTGGCGCGAGTGACACCAAATAAATGATCGATGTGTCTACATTTTGAGTTTGCTAGCCGTGGTTACTGTCCTGGTTGTAAATATTCTTTTCATTCTGCAACCTATTATGTTCAGTGACAACGAAACACAACTAACTGTGTACATAATTCATGTGATTACATGCATTATCATCCTAGCTGTGTGGAAAACCAACACTGGGACAATCGATCATAACCAAGCATCATCAACCAAAATGCTGCCAGCTAGATAAATATATCTCGCGTGAAAATGTACTGGGTCACTTTATGTGTATCACAGTCACAATGGCACAGCGTGGACAAGAAACAGTATATTACATGATGTTATACTTACCTGCCAGAATGAGTGGTGACAACTCCTTGTAATAAGCTAAACCCAATGGTGTGTACGGAACTGTACGACCAGGTAGCCAGTCGTTCAAGTATTTCTTGAAGTTATTTGCATATTCATTTTCTTGGGTCACATCATACATTAAAAGCTGGTAAACAGTGATAAGAATGTTCAAACAGTTGTGCGATGTGTTGATGATCACACGATACCCGCATTATCGAAAATATTCTTGTACGAATGCGAACACAATATCAACTCAGAGGAACTGAGTTTTACATCTCAAAAAATTATGTATTTAATGAAAACTTTCGAATATATTGTATAGTATTGCCTGGTTTTACGTAACAAACCCATCGAGGTATCTGTCACATATATTAGGCTAACGCGAACATTTTAAAACGAGAGAAGAAATAAGAAAATGGAAACAAACAATCAAACGATCATATATCTAACGATGACATCAACATGTATAAATGATTACTAATCATGAATTATAGTTCATTCAGTACAAAACTAGGAAACTAGAAATATTGCCATAAGCTGTTCAATTGCTAGAATGCTGTGAAATAGTAATAAATGGTCTAACAACCTTAGACACATTGACGTTTACTATAGTGGTATATAAATAGTAAAAATAAAGTAAAAATCAGTTGGGACATAGTAAATACCTGAGCCCCGGCTCCAACATCATTCCGAGCAAACGGTTCAACGCTAGAATCTAGGCGCCATTGGCTATAGTGAACTACAGCCTTACCCTTGAAGGCGTCATTATTCGACGAGTTGTAATACCAAGCTTCGGCCCATACTACCTTGTCTTTATATCTTGAAAATCTAGACAAGAGGCCGGAAATGGAAATGATTATTATTTCAAAAATTATTCATAACACACTTATATAATATATATGCCGTGCATTAATCATACTACATGACGGGAAGCTATAATTTGATAGAGAATAGTACTCACTCATATTGTTCGAGGCACGGTCCATCGAATAAACCAGGTTTTTATTCCAACATCTCGTATATTGCTTTTGCATTTGCACGTAGTGTGATCGAGTACCGGGTATCTAGAGAACACATATATAATCAAGAAACTTTCTTCCAAATTTATTATTATTAATTGATAGTTAGACAATTTATATATAATGGATGTAATGCTATAATGTAGCATAGTGAATATACATATATATCATATTTTAGGTCGCGCCCTCTCGTAATGAAACTCATCTTTGACGTCAAAATGGCGTACACGGGTGAAGGTATTCCAGTTCATCCTTGTGTTTACTTGATTGTCTGTCTAGTAATACCAGAACAATCATAGTTGTATTGACCACAGATCTTAACGGTTTGAGCGGATTTTGTTTGATCCATTTACGTTATAGAAGAAAGACGCCATACGACGTGTATTGCATGCAACTTTTCCATTCGTCACCATACTTTACCGATTGGTCTGAAAACAATACTAGCTGCTGACAGTGCCGATGAAGTAAGCATCGCCTCTGCTGTTGGGTGATCATATCTGAAAGAAGCATGACAAGCAGGTCTCGGCATAGTCATGTCTTCAGGACGTCCCCAGAATTGGCGGTCTAGCGTAAAATCTCCGAGCTGTAGGAACAATTATACATAGTTGCAATTGTATACACCTGAGTGTTTTAAATCTATGTTCTTATAAACAAATATCTTGGTTTGGCGATGCTACCTTACAATGTAAATGGTATATATCTTAAACTCACACGCTTTAGTTAGACCAACCTGCAAAATTTCGAATACCCCCAAAACATCCGCTACGTAATTTCGTTGTCATTGACATTACATTACATAGACGACTGTTCCATTGCGTGTCACAAAATAAATGAATTATTTATTTTGTTCATGTTTCATACTTGTTTTTCTATTTCGATAACCACTACTAGTTAATCTGAATCTTGACATGCAACATATTTAATTTAATCAATTTAATAGCCACTTTCATTGACCGCAGGTAACTATTATAGCAATAACGTTAGTATCCGTGTTTTGACAACGGTAACACGTAATGGAGATTCTGAGGTAAATTACAGAAAAACATGTTTACAAGAACGATCAGGTCATTTTTATTCTTCACTTTCAATAGATAGTCAGTCCCCCATCTGATGCAGTCCAAGGCGTATTTGTACTGAGCAGCCGAAATATAAGCATCTCTGAAGTGAATTAAACTTCATGCAATGACGGTCATAATGTACGCTATCGTCGCTGTGACTTTCACGTGATTGCCAGCTATACAAAGAACGTATTATAAAAAAAAATATTAGTTTAAAGTCAAAGCAAACAACATAATGCTCCCAGACGAAAGAGCTCAACATATGTGCGAGAATGCAATTTTCAGTTTTCTATATCTGTTTTATTCTTTATATATTCAATTTTGCATCAATATTATGAAGTCCGCCATCTTGATTCTCCAGCATAGTAGTGTGTAAAGTGTGATGTCACATCCACTGTTATGGAAAAACGCGGAAATGACTTCATCTATGACGTGGCAAATACTAATACGAATCAGTTCATATTTTCGGTGTGCATATAACCTATTCTTATATGCATAATAAAGCGAATTTGAATGTTATGAATATTCAAGAAGTAAATTAAATGAAATCATAATTTTTGTCGCTAAAAATAGACTGACATTTTTGTCCCTTTTTTGGTTATATATCACATGTATACCTACTCACATCGATAAATTGTATAAAATATACGAAAAATTAAGCATTTGGTTGAAATACACAATAATGAATATTTTCAGTTCTACCATGACAACTTTTTCTGTGCATTTTTGGCACCGGTAATCTACCAATCTTTCAACTAAGTTGAAGTTCAACTTTTGAAGTTATAGATGAACTCATTATGAACTCATTACCTTTTGCATAAATGGATGAAAAGTTGGAAATCTAGCAATGAAAAGTGATAACAAAATAACGTAAATTGCAGTTTCTTACATTTGCCCCGCTCTTTCATCTGGGAGCATTGTGTTAATAGCTTTGAATTTTCCTTTAATATTATTACATTTTTAATAATAACCGGAGGTCTGAGGCAAATGCTACTTTAAGACATTGTAAGGCTTAGGAATTGAGTGAGAGGAGGATTTAGAACGAGTTTAATTATTTCTATAAATTATTTTATTACCATCATAGTAGCCTCCGGTCATATCACCGCCACGATTATTAACATCACCAGTGGCTGAGTCATCGCGGTAGGGTATTCTGTTCTCATATTGATACTTTCTTCGGTCATTTTTGTTCGCCGGGGGTAGATATCCCGATCTTTGAGTTTCATAAAATAGTAAAGATTTTTCAAGTACCAGTTTATAGTCATAATCTGTAACAAATCATCGATTGAAGTATATATGTAACGACTTTGTTGTTAACTATTTCAATTGTTTGATGTGAATCATATGTTTTACGTAGCAATAAAATCGAACAAATCATACGGTGCTCTGCTACATTATGCTATTTTATTATACACTGGCCCAATCGTCTCGGTGTTACAACCGTACAGACGTGGGTACAATTACCAACATGAGCTGAATTAATAAGGTCAGAAATAACACGATACGACATGTATTACAGTTTCGTTTCTGTTCGTTTGCGAGAACAAGGCAGATTGATGTCGCACCCACGCCCATAGACATTCATTTTACCTCCAGACCATGTTATAAAGTTGCTCTTCTGAAAATAAAGTTCTAAAATTGTTTCTAATTTACGAGGAATTGTAGATTGGAACTTATCGTACCACTACAAGTACATTTTTGAAGCCTGGGTCTTGTGAAAAATCGTTTAGTGACGTTAACGCCATTCGCCATTACATTACATCCAGATAGGCATACTAGCTCTGTCTTGTATATTAGCATTCGCTCTACCTTTTTGAATCATGTGTTGTGAGCGCGACAAACCGGCGTTGAGAAGTCATAATTTGGATAATTTTTATATTGTTTAACATTTTATGTTTTTCAAGTATCGCCAATCAGAGTTTTGCGAATACATACAATTTGTTTAATATTACGGTAAAACCTTTACCCTTACCCGTGTGTGAAACCTCGATACGGCCAAACGCACATCATAGGATTAATTTATTTACAAATAGCTTTTAATCAATATCCTATTCTGCCACCTCAAATTTGTCAAAATTTTAGCCAATAACGTATAATTTCAGTGTTAATATATATTTCTAATGACTGTCGCCCTAATTCCCGTAACATCGACATTTATCAGCTGTTGAACCTATACCTAAAACGAATTTACAGAACTCTTTTATAAACCCCAAACTGTTCTGTCATCGCATGAAATTGAGAGGAAAAAGATGGGAATGGAATGTCTGGTTACAACCCCTGAGCTTGTCTGTCATTTAGTTTGTAACTTGTTGCTATTCAATACTGATTATGAATACAGTTGAAAATGCACGGCATATGAATAATGAGGTGATTGCGAAGATGATATCTGTCATGTTGATCACTGCATTCATGTTTCGTTCACTGGAAATATCATAATACAACTAATCGTACTTTGTTTCGCTTTTGAAATGTGTAAAACATGCTATAATAGATTTGCCTATTAGTGATGTTCCACTTAAGGTTTTAAAGTTAAATCTATAGCAGGTTTCCGCCCAGAATCGGACTTTTTCTATAAAACACCTCTAAAAACTCAATTGAGGTATGATCTGATCGTGATCTATTTACCCACTATAAAATGTTCGAGTCTTGATGATATCAAAATTAATGAATCCTGTGCCAGTTTATCATAATAAAGTCTTCCCTAGATATTTGTTTTGGGTTGTAATATATGTGCCTCTTTCTATAAGTTCATTGTCATACACTTAATCTGCTAATGGTTCTCAATAACTGTCACCTAATATTGTAATAGTATGTATTTAATTTTAGTGTTTCAGAAGACCATGGGCATCGTAAATTGTGTGTAGAAAATAATCTCCTCACTGGATAATAAATACATGTTTTGATTTTCTTAAATGATATTAGGATCCAGGAAACGATGCGTAGCGATCATTTTATGTGGTGTAAAGATTCGTATGATACAGTGAAATTTACCTGAACAAGTAGCCCCAATGAAACCCGCATAACATATACATGTACATGATCTCGCCCTCAGAGTACCATTAACACACACTGGGATCGTCTCACAAGCTGTAATACATACCAAAAGGAGGAATAGATGAGCAATCTGTCCGATTTACGTATTTTAAGTTTGTTTCCATCAGAAATATAATCGCAGCCACGTGCTCATACGTTTATAGTACTGCCCGCCCGGGGGTGGGGAAGAATTATACGTAACAGGTTTCGTAATATCAGTTTACAATTCCTACGTAATTCGCTTCCACAAGGCAGTTCGCAAATTTTGAACGCGGGATTGGAAAACATCACGCAGGATTAAAAAGCTTGTAGTTTGTTTATTTTGTTTGTACGAACCAATTTATTTCTTGTCATTGGAGCGAAAACCTTATATAAATATAAATACACAATAAATCCCATTAACATCATAATCCCGATTGACAATGCGTCACTCTATAGTCATCGCGTACTATTAGAATATAATTAATATAATAACACGAGATTGTTAAATATTATTCTCTCACTTTTTTGTAATATCGGTTTGTTTATTTGTTGCGTAAATGGACCGGGTTGATTGCAAATAAGTAGCGTTTATATCATTTCTACATGAACATCGCTTTCTATACAATTCGAACGTGGTCTGCAATTTTTGTTTTCATTCTTTGCTGCCTAACTAGAACCAATTAACTATAGTCATGCTACCGGTAGTGCGTTTGATAATTATGATGGCCTGTGATAAGAAAATTAAACCATTGATATAAACATTGAGACGCTGGATTTTTTTTAACATTACCACGTTGCTACAAGTTGTATATTAGTTATCGAGTTCTTAGTAATAATACGAATACCACTCACCTGCTGTGACTACATTATTTTCTTCTCTTTGAAATGTTTCATGCTTATAGCGATTTATCATATAGAAGTTAGAAATAATAAAATCGAAATATAGATATAGATCAGAAACAAGAACTAGTATAATTCAAACATTTCATTTTCTCAACCTACCTTTTTTTCTGACTGTATTATTATGCTGCCATAAAATTACCCATTTTATTTATTTATTTGTTTATTTGAAGTCAGAAGCAAAATAATAATTCCCTGCTATTTTTTTTTCGGAGTTTGTTGTTAAATAGTCACTAGTGAGCAATGAACTGTATTAAAAACACAATTTAATTTTGTTTAAGTCAACTAAAAATGCAAATATGAAAACCATAAAAACAACTCATGACGTTGAGAATAAAAAAAATACTTACCAAAGCGAACGCAGCAAAGAACGCGATAACAAAACACAGACGCATATTTACCTACACGACTGCAGAATGACAAGCATACCGTTAATAACCACCCGCTGCATGTTTTCCTACAATTTCTGTGGAGGTCATCTATCGTAAGCTGATTTCTCGTTTAATGTTCCGGTATACATCAAATTTGATCAACGCGAGTCTCTGTACATATAATTAATGCATATAATTATTCCGCAACAAAATACCATATTGGTTTAAAGAAACAAAACGTATGTCAGGCCAATTGATATTCCAATCGCAGTTGTTGGTGTTTCACAGTGTTCGTCATTACCGAAATAAATTAGATTTGATTGTAATGAAATGTATATCAATATTATTTTTACATCTAAATTCTTACATGTCTTATTGCCCAATACGATTCAATGGATTTGTTTTGAACAAACATTAATGTTTTGCTATTATAAGACTTGGTGTATTGTGTAAACAGCTACTTGGTGTACTTTGTTTTTTTTTTCCATTTTATTCCATTTTCAAGAGTACAGTGTGCAGGGTATATATATATATGCACACTGTACTCTTGAAAATGGAATAAAATATATGTATTACTTATTTTATATTATTTATTCAGTATTGTACAGCAATGTTGGTCAGCTTATGTAGAGTTCAGCATAAACCATACATTAATTGTATTTACCTATTTGGAAAGACGTTTCATTTACTTTGTATTATTTTCTAGTTTCTAATCATGTCATTTTTTTGCTTATCATAAATCTTTATTCAATTATACGGTTTTCACGTGTCAACAACGTTCGTGCTAGTGCATTTATGTACATATGATAGCTGCCTTGTCGGTAGTATGTAATTTTAACAATCGCACGCGGACTTAAAATCTAATTTACATATTGAGGTGGATGTGTGACATTGAGCTATTTTACCAGTTATACCGCAGCTGGACATCATTTTTGTTTAACGAAATAATACGAAGGTCAAGGCAATTGTTATTTGAATCGTTTGACACAGTTGTTGGTGTATCACCGTATTTACTTTTGAAGAGGTATGTGGTCTTTTTACCGAAATAAATTAGTTGTGGTTGTACCGAAGTGTATGACAATAGTATTTTTATATCTCTTACTTTTTCTTACTGGGGCGGCTGCGATCTGTTTGTGTTGTGTAGAGGCTGCTACACTTAGAGTTACAACATTGCTGTTTCTGCCAATGATAATCAATAATAAAAGCATTAGCAATCGGTACATACGGTCACCACCGGAAATGTATTGAATAGCAAACCATTAATGAAGAGAATAAATTATAGTTTAATGACTCAAACAACGTAATAATGTTCTATTACACAAAACCGAATCTATTGTTTTAAAGAAGAAAAAAACAAACACGTCAGAACCCCTCACTCACAACGCATTGATCTACAGGTACTGTTGCATTCCTGTACCTATAATCTATAATACCTTCCTTTTCGGTCGTTTGCTGTTGCGAAAAAAATATAGTATTGTGTTTTGTGTTTACAAGTGCTGTAGAAAATGTTCCAGAATGGCCGCTTCTTCTATACATATGACAATATCTGGTGTTTCTGAGCTCTCGTTTGAATGTTCAATGAATGTTTTAATTCCTGTTATTTTGGGCCATGTGGACTGTAGGAGAGCACTGGAAAACTTTCAAACATTTTTAATTACAGCTGATTAAAATTCTTCGATTACAGTGAGAGGTTTTCTATGCAGATCATTGAACGCCAGGATCAAACACCGGAAACGTACACAATGCACTGTGTTACCGGGAAAGAGTGGAATGGGTTCGGCAGATTATTTAAAATGACACAAATTAGCCTATAAAAAGTGCATTTATTTATTATTCTAACAACAGTTTCGAATTACTCATTATAATACTCATAGTAAACCTTATTGATTCGCTCCGACGACTACGGTAAACCATAAATAGTGGATGTTATTTTAATATATATTTTGGATAATTCAACAAAAAGATAAAATAAAATAAAAACA